CACCCATTATACCTGCAGATGCCCTGACTGCCAGGGTGTAATCACCTACATCAGGAATGACATACAAGGAAAAGTTGAAAACATCACAACTAACACAAGAACAGACACCCAAAAAGCTACAATTTGGTATGCAGGTTGCAAATTTACAATCTTTAACATCTACAGCCCCTGGAAAGAACTGCTCTTTTTCATTTCTCCAAGAATCGATAAACACCAAAACAATAGTTGCAGGTGACTTTAATGGCCACTCTCCTCAATGGGGATACAGAACATACAACAAAAGCGGAATGGCCATAGAGGAACTCTGAGGCACAACAAACCTCCTTGTTCTCCAAGACAAGAAATCTACCCCTACCCTTCTACACAGGGCTCACAACACACTCAGCAGGCCTGATTTGACCATCCTTTCATCCGACCTCTTCCAAAGACACACCACAAAAGTCCTTGACGGCATAGGGAGCGACCACAGACCCATCATGACTTCGGTGTCGACCCCAAGCCAAAGTCACTTTGTACAAAAGACCAAGTGGAATTTTTAAAAGGCAAACTGGGAGCTCTACTAGACAACAACAGAAAAGCTCCTGAAAGATATTACGCCAAACCCCTCTGTTGATGTCTTCTGTGGCGCAATAACAGATTCCCTGCTCAAGGCTGCAGCTCTCTGCATCCCTAGGGGTTGCAGGAAGAAGTACAAGCCCATCTCGAACGAGAACATCGAACAAGCAGTCCAAGACAGAGAAAATGCTCGTAAAACTCTTCAAAGCAATCCTACAACAGGAAACAAAATTAACTACAAAAAAGCCTCAGCTAAGGTCAAACAGACAATCCTCTTGGCCAAAAGAATCAAATGGAGCACCACAGTTGCAGACCCTGACCTACGTAGAAACGGAGCCAAAGCATGGTCACTTCTCTCCAACTTGTGTGGAGAAAAGCGCCGAAATAACCCAAAACCCATGGACACAGAGGAAGGCACCATCGTAGAAGACCAAAAAAAGGCAGAAACCTTCAACAAGTTCTTTGCTTCTATAAACAAAGCTACACTCCACACTGACCAACAAGAGACTATCTGAAAAGATTGAAGGAGAAAGAGCATGCGCCAAATGCGAGCATCTCTCTCTTTGAAGATGACTTCACAGTCACTGAGCTCAACAGGGCAATGAAGAAACTGAAGCCCCGCAAATCCCCATGACTAGAAACAGGTAAGATCCACACTGAAATGCGTGTCAACCTCAGTCCCGTTGGTAAGGGTTATATTCTCCAGCTGATCAACAAGACGTGAAATGAAAACACCATCCCCAGAGCATGGAGAAACGCCACCATCACACCCATTCTCAAGAAAGGAAAACGAAGAAATGAAAAGCTATCGACCCATTTCACCAACCTCATGCATCGGGAAACAGGCAGAGAGAATGGTCAACCACCGCCTATACAAGTGGTTGGAAACAACCGGTGCCCTGGACAGCAACCAATCAGGATTTCGTGCGGGCCAACGAACAGATGACCAGCTCTTCAGGCTCAGTCAGAAAGTCTTTGGTGGCTTCCAGGAAAAGAAGAACACAGTTGCAGTATTCGTTGATCTCCAGCAAGCCTACGACAGGGTATGGAGAAAAGACCTCCTATGGAAAATGACACAGACAGGAATCCACGGGAATCTCTACAAATGGGTGAAGACCTTCATTACAGACAGGACGATCCAGACCAGAATTAACAATGGTGTGTCATCCAAAGCTGTACTGTAGGAAGGCCTACCCCAGGGTTCCTCTCTGAGCTGCACACTTTTCCTTGTTTTCATCAACGACCTGCCTGAGATACTGAAATGGGAGAAGGCCCTATGTGCCGACGACCTAGCCATCTGGCATACAAGTAAACAAGCTGGCATCAGTGCACGGCTTATACATGAGGATCTAGATAGATTCAACAACTACTGCTGCAAGTGAAAACTAAAAGCAAATTGTACCAAGACAATCTACACCGTCTTTTCAAAAAGCCACAAAGTTGCAAAGCAAAATCTCACCATCTCACTTGCAGGAAACAGACTAGAAAAAGTTGAAGACCCGACCTACCTTGGGATCGAGCTGGACAGACAGTTTTCACGCAAAAACCATATATGGAACCTGAAGACCAAGGCCAACAAGAGACTTCACCTTCTCAGACAACTGGCTAGCACTTCATGGGGAGCGGATAAGGATGCACTCAGACAGCTATATGTTGGCTATGTACGCTCTGCCATGGAATATAACCTAACCTTACAGACAATCTGCAGCAAACCAACTCTGAGGTCTCTTGACAAAATCCAAAATCAAGTTGTACGATTTATCTCCGGAGCTTTGAGTGAGATCCACTCCAACTGCAGCTTGTGAAATCCATACGAACCTGGAACCCTTGGACTTGCGAAGAAATGCAGCAGTTGTGAAGATGAGTGAGCGCTACAAAAGACTAGAGAGAAACCACCCAAACAGGAAAATAATTGAACAGAGACGACCAAAGAAACGGATTCATGGAAGATCAATACTTGACACAGTCACTGAACTAGCAGAAAAACACCATCTTCCATGTAACAGAGAAATGCTGAAACCCTTAAGACCAGAACTCCCCCCAAACACTAACATCAAGAATGCCAACATCAAAATTTCCTCAGTGAAAAAGGAATGTGACCCAGTAGAACTGAAGACAACAGCTCTGAAGACAATTGACTCCTACCCTAGTGATTCAATTCATATTTACACAGACGGGTCAGCCTTCAAGGGAACTATAAATGTAGACTTTGGGGTAAGAATTGAACATCCTGACAAAACATTCGAAGAGCTATTTGATGCATGTGGTACGTCTTGTACAAATTACAAAGCTGAGGCCATCGCCATTGAAGCAGCAATCCTCCACCTGACCAACATTTTCATAGTACATCCAAACAAAATCAAGAACACTATTCTCTTCACAGACCGAAAGTCAGTACTCCAAGCTTAGGAAAACTTGAATTTCGAAAGCCCAGCCTGCCTATCCGTGGCTCAAAGAGTCAACACCTTCATACAGACCTATGCCGTCGACCTGACACTACAGTGGATACCTGGCCACAGCAACATTCCAGGAAACGACAGAGCAGACACCCTTGCCAAGAAGGGAGCATCACAAACACAACCTCACAACCCAGTATCACAACAGACAGCCAAGAACATCATCAAATGCAACACTAGGGAACAGTGGCTGAATGGATGGGCAATGGGCAAAACTGGAAGAACTGTATTTGCACACATGACAGCCCCCAACTCTAAAGATGCAATAAGTTCCCTGAGTAGAAGAGAACAGGTCACAATCTTTCGCCTGCGAACACAAAACACACCACTAAGTTCTTACCTTAATAGGATCCGCAAGGATACCCCACCCAACTGCCCGTTGTGCGACTGCCAGGATGAAACAGTACCACACCACCTCTTTAACTGACCATCACTTTGCGACCTGCGTAGCAGCTACCTACCTGCCTCCCCAGACATCGGAAATACTCTATACAGTGACAAAGCACAGCTGATTAAAACCTGTAAATTCTTTGCCATATCGACAGACCGAAGGGCTAGAACCCAAATGGCCGCTGGATCGGAAAAGTAAAAAGTAAAGTATCCAGAGTAAAACAAGCCAAGAAAAAAAGAGAGGGTATAAAACTATCATATTTAGGGTTGCTACACTTACATAAGGTACTCGTATCACTTAGGGGCTACATTTTAGCATCATTCTAGTTTTACTCGATGTGTCAGGGAGAGGGGGGGGGGTCAGAGAAAAACAAACCCATTTAAGCTCCTCCATCCTCCCAGCGATGGTTTGCACTGTCGTGTCTTTTTTCGTACAATGTTTCTCTCAGTAAACACTCCACTTTAGGTTTACAGGTAATTCAACTCGGGCAAAGTATATTATTGAAGTTGTCAGCGGTTTCTATTCTTTCTTTTTAAAAAAATTATAATGTGTGTTTTACTCCTCAATCGACACACTTCAGATCACTTAGGGGAGAGCTTCGACCTTACGAGTCAGGGCCAACCTGGGCTGAGAGGGGAACAACGACCTTGTCGAAAGACGGAGGTACTAAACAAATTCTTACTGTGCGTGAATCGAATTCGGGGCTTCTTCAGATGACAATGCAGATGATAGTGATGATAAGCTTTTTCATTTAAAACATTGTCAAGACCCTGGAGCTGGCCAAAAGACATGCATGCTTCGTCTATCAGTGCAATAAAGTTCTTAACGCAGTTAACAAAAAAAAAAACAACAACAAACAAACAAAACACACACACACACACACACAAAAGCAAAAAAACCAACAACAAAACACACACGCAAAAAAACCAACAACAAAACACACACACACACACACACACACACACACACACACACACACACACACACACACACACACACACACACACACACACACACACATGCATTCCAACTTTTTAAAAAAATTATTCAAGAAATAATGTTGTGGGCATGTAAGAACTTCTGTGAATATTTGAAAACGTATGTAGGCCAATGTAAACTTGTTAAGTAATAGTAGATGTTTTACACCACCACCCCATCCCCAAAAATGACTGCAATTTAATTGATATCATTTTTAAGATGCGAGCTGTTTCGACTCTGTCTGTCAGGGCCAACACGGGCTGTAAGAGACACAACGTCCCAGCAGAAAATATGAGATACACAATACAAATTCTCCTCAAACGGGAATCGAACTCTTGTCTTTTGCGTGCGACAACGAGGCACCTAACCGCTGCACCATAAATGATGGTGTAAATCCCTGGTGCAGTTTTCCTACAATAATACATGATAAAGTAAATGGAGGAATAAACGCATAATGTAAATACAGTTTATATATAATTATGTCATACCATATTATATATATTATTATGTATAGTATAGTTTAGAATAGTATATATATATATATATATTTATGCATGTTTAATGTATACATATAATAATATATCATATAATATAATACATAAATAAATAAATCTTCATACTTGACATAGTAGAAAAATGGCTTTTTCTTCTGCTCCTCCTCGCCGTCGTTGTTTGTTGATGCCATTGCGCTTCAAAGAATAGAACACAGGTCTTGGGAAGGATACGTATCGCAGAGATACCAAAAGGCCTCATGTAAACACACTGAACCTTGAGTTTTTCCAGTCTTATTTATACGTGAGGATCAAATTTCACATACAGTATAATTACACATGTAGATGAAGACTAATTATGTATAGGCCACATGGTAACGTGAGACGCTCCTCTCGAAATGGGAGACAGGTCGTGCATGGATAGAACTTGTTGACCAAGCCAACATTATTATAGCAAGTCGTAATATGTATTAGTATTAGGTCGATAGTGTCTTCGATCTCTCTATCGTAGCACATACGTGAGTTAGAAGGTACTCTAATGTAGCATGGGAGTTTGATAAAGACAAATGGTGTGCTCACTTGACCTTATACAGTTGCGAGCGCCGTTGAAAGAACCCTACCCCTCCCCCCCCCCCCCAAAAAAAAAAGAACAAACAAACAAAACAATAACAAAACAAACAAAAGACAGTTACGAAAGTGAGAATTTTGTTAAGATTAACAATCTAGAATAAATTCTTCAAATTGATGCATTCAGAATAATATTTCCTTCGGGTCTGTCCAAAGTCTGGAGACCCTAGTAAGGATGTGCCGGTCGTTTGATCGGCATAGCATCTGACACAAAAGCGTTTTTCGTCTCTCTGCCCTCTGCAGGTGATACGTGTGTCCGGGACTTCGGGAGGTGTGTACAATACATGTATCTAATTAAAAATAACTTCATCTCTTCAGAAGAAACCCGAAAACTTTGTGGGGCCAAATTTGGGCATGATACTGTTGAGTTTGTTGTGTGCTTGTTGGCTCCAGTGTTCCGCCCTCAAACTGGAGGTGATATAGATCTAATGCATCTTTCAAGTTTATTTTTGACGATATATATAGCCTTATATATATATATATATATATATATATATATATATATATATATATATATGTGTGTGTGTGTGTGTGTGTGTGTGTGTGTGTGTGTGTGTGTGTGTGTGTGTGTGTGTGTGTGTGTGTGTGTGTGTGTGTGTGTGTGTGTGTGTGTGTGTGTGTTATTTACAGTGGCGTCCAAAGAAACGTAAAAATGTGTTCAACCCATCATCGTGTTAAAGCCTTTCACTACCCACTCATGCAGCACAGCAATTAAAGCTAAATAAATTATGCATCATCTGACACATTAATATTTCATCTACCATAAGTAAGAGTGGCCCGAGATATGGTCACTCAATAATCTTTAAAAATTTGACTCGGCAAAATTCTGTGAAATCAAGTATTGCATATCAAACAAATGGAGACTTTTAAAAACAAAAATGATATCATTACGATAGTTTGAAACGTATTGGAAAAGAGAACAGTCACATATACCACACAGAGCATGGACTCAGCATTAAATGTGCTCATTAGTATTTTGCTTAGGAGACATTATTTTTGTGTAGAGCATGAACCTGTCATTTGATCCCAAGTGTCACAGAGTTGCAAACAAAGCGTCTGAACTGGAAGCAAAGTTGCGTTTCTTCAGCTGCTGTTTCATGGGGTTTCCACATATCGGTAGGAGTCATCGGGGCTATAATTTACTGATGACAACTCTGTCGTTGGTATGATTTGCTTTTCCAAGAATTATCTAAAGCTGTTAACCATGTGAGAAGGTGCTTAAAGAAGTCTACTTGAATGGCACCATTACGAAAACAAGGAAGCGACATGAAGTTCCAGTACTTGTGGCGATGTAGTTATCTAAATCCCGCCATCCGTTGATACTCACAAACGGGGCTTTGTTCATTCCAGCCAGACCACCCCAAATCATGGAAGTTTTATAAAGTCTGTTCCTCAGTGACAGATGATTATGTCAAAAAATGTAACACGGTTCATGCTCAAAAGGGTTAGTGATAATTGTCCACGAAAACAAAGGCTCGTAAACAAAATTCTGACGAGCACATTTGATGTTTAGCCCATTTGAAGTATCTGTATCTGCTCTGCCTTCCAATCTGTCTGAAAAATATCATAGTAAAACATTATCAATTGAAGAGCACAATGATATTCTCCATTCTTCTAAAAAGCAATACATGTACCTTCCAATATAATCGGTAACACACTTTTACGTTCCTTTGATTAAACACAATTTTGCCAAGCATGATTTTTTTTCGGGTTAATTTTGAGTAACCACATCTCGAGCGACTCTTATTCGTAAATAAAAAAAATTGATGTGTCAGGTGATGCAAAATTTATTTAGCTTTAAATTGGTACATGTATGCATCAAGTGTGGGGAGTGCAAGGCTTTAACTTTAACAAGACAATAGGGGGAATACATTTTCAAGCTTCTTTTGTAAGGCACGGTTTATAATAATATACAGTATGTATGTGTCTGAACATCATGCGCGCGCGCGCGCGCGCGCGCGTGTGTGTGTGTGTGTGTGTGTGTGTGTGTGTGAGTGCGCGCGCGTGTGTCTGTGAGAGGGCTTGCACAAACGGAACAAAAACGAATGCCACAATTTGATTAATTAACCTTTAGGTGTTTATGATAGGCATAATTTTCCACAATCGAAACCAGCTGCCAGCGAAATGACGTTCCTAAAAAACCAAGAAGGTAACAGTGCATACAAATTAATTATCTTGAAAGTTAATACCTCATGTGTTTTGTGTTACACCTAGCGTAGGATAAAGCGTTGGATTGAGGCCTAGTTATACATAAAAAGTTAGGTGAACTTATACTTATAGATAGACCTCTATATAATTCCCCACCCGAAAAAAAAACCCCAGAAAGAAAGCAAGCGTATAGGTTTAATGCCCTATCAACCCTAATAGGTTATTGAAGAGGGGTGGCCTCCTTTTGTATTGTGTAATGTAACGTCCGTCTCCGTCAGGACCGAGTCAAATGGGTTGAGAGCCGTGAAACCGTCACAAAACGACCCGGGTTCAAGAACTCCCTGTCTGGGATGCGAACCAGGGCCATCCGATTAGTCCAGCAAGATACCAACTGAGCTGACAGAGCGTCCAAAAACAGAAAAAAGAAGAATTGATACTAAATAAAATGTCTTACACATAATGTTTGTCCTCGTCTCTGATTGTCTGTCTGTCTGTCTCTGATTGCTTGCCTATCAACCCTCCTCCCTCACTTCACAGACAAACCATTTCATCAAGCCGGTTGACAAACATTGTAGAAGATACGCGATAAAACTACAACTTTCCCGCGCGGAAATCGGACTCACGTCTTCTGTGTGCAACTAATAAACGTCTAAACAAATTCAATCAATCACACCACAGACGCTGATTGGTTGCTGGAATTAATACTGTACATGTGCTTCGCTACCTTGTAATTACAAAGTACCGTCTGACATTTTTGGCTGTTTTGAGGTACTAAGACCATGATATGTTCTTTCTGCTCTATCAAAATCATAAGATTACTCGGAGCGGAGTCATTATCAGGATATTCAAAGAATTACATCCCAAAAAGCTTGGATTGACATGTTGTGAAACTCAATGTCAAATTTCTCAAAACTAGGTTCTGAGCAGATCGAACTATGTCATTCTGAGCTAGCGACTTTTCGTTGAACACTGCTCTGACCCACCGTGTCAGGGCCAGCCCAGGATGAGTGGGATGGATGCAGCATCTGAGCAGAACGAAAGCACTGATAGTGATACCTTTAAATTAGGTTTTCCCATACGGGAATCAAACTACTGTCTTCAGTGTGCAGCAGTCAATCAATGGCCTAACTATTGCACCACAGACGCGGACAGTTAACCAGGCAGTAGGAAGTAACAGCGTACGTTTGTGGAGTTGCGGAAAACATCATTGAAACTTTTTAAACTTTACACACACACACACACACACACACACACACACACACACACACACACACACAAAAGCTTTTTGTGGTTTAGAAAACAATGTGTCAATTACGGAGTTGGAAAGATGGCAATTAACAGTTCAAAGATCAATAATCTACCGTCTAAACAACCTACAGGGGTTGGAAATAAGGTGGTGTTCAAGGACTCCCCACATGCTGTAGAGAGAATGGCTGCTATCAAAACTGAGACCTGGCAAGAATGGTAGATATTCCTCATCAATCTGCAGAGTGACATTGAAAGAAATCTAACATGCCCCCTGAAAACTATCGACCTGGTGTTGCAGTTGACCCTGCACATCCCAACACACCAGAAAACCTCAGCGCACCTCAGGTTTAGACTCTATAACCACTAGACCACTGACGCCACAGCTTTGGGTCGAAGAGTGAAAACCAGTCTTTTACACTGGTTGGCCACCATAATCAGTGCTGCTCAAAAACATGTGCAATGCTTTGCTCAATAAGGGTGATTGGAGACACAATCACAGACTTTCAAGAATTCAGTAGACTTTTATCCTGCTGTTTGTGATGTAAATGAAGCTTAGTTGAAGTGACTTTGTACTTCGACTCTTCCCTGTTATTGGTAAAAATAATGTACTCAGACACAATGATCCGGTTACTCTACGATCAGGATGATAGGGTTATCAGTGATGAACCTTCTGGCCTTGCAATAGAAAGATAATGGGTTCAGTTTCTGGCTGTGTCTAGATCTAGAAGGAAGAAACACCCCTATACTATGGAAGTGGAAGAGGTGACTCTCGGTCAGAGGGAAAGGAGTTTACCTCTCAAGCTAAAGCATCTGGTTTGATTCCCATTTACCAGGCAAGGTCACAGGTCAATTCTTTTTTTTTCTGCTTTCTAACTACTCTGGTAAGGCAGCAAATGGGATTGAGCACTATTTCAACATGAACATGGGATAAAGAAGCAAACCTTCAGAGGCCATGAGCACATGGTAAACATATAATAAAAACACAGAAGAAATAGGAAGGAGAACTGGTCATCAAAGCAAAATATCCAAATTAATTCTAGCCCCAAACTGAAAAACAAACTCTGGGCAGGACAAACTGTGCCCCTCTGCCCGAGCTCCTGAGCGATTCACACCTAATTTAAATTAATCTCACATATTAATAAACTATATCATCGTCAGAATCACATTCCCTATGCAGTGGAATCCTGTTATAACGAGAGGGAGGGGACCGGAGCCAAATGTCCGTTATAGCAGAATTCTCGCTACAAGGGATCCAGTAATAAATTCAAAGGAAACTGTAAAGTAGGCCTAATCTATGAGTTTGGTGTTCTGTTAGTTTCCTTTTGCTACCCCCCTGATGATAATTTTGTTTCAACATGACCTCTAGCTAGGTCTTACTTGATCAAAAATCGAATCATGTTTCTTTCTCTAGCCATATGGACTGACAGCTCGGCGTTGGCGATCAGAAAGAAAGGGCTCTGGGCTAACTTGCCGACTGTGGTTTTCCCCCACCACACCCCACCCTGTGGTGCATTCCGTCTGCTTGCGCCCGCCACACATTCGCTCCATCCATCACATACATTGCTGTGACCTCTCCATCCCCGCATCGGAGAAGTGAGAGGCATGGAAGGCCTTGATAATCTAAACTAGGCTTACGCTGGCCTATCACGCAATGCGTTCTGCTTGTCCCTCCCTACTCAGTCGCTCCGGCCTTCATTGTTGACGCACATGGGCTCTCCTATTCTTTGATTCGCTAGATCACCAACAAGTTTCTCAACTGGCGAGGTTTTGCATGTATAATTGGCCTATGTACTGTGCACAGCAGCTGCAATATTCGGCTATAACCGACTTGCATGTTTGTCTGATAGCGCTATAGCAGTATTTTATTTACAGAGGTAAGGAGGAGAAAAAACGGGGTTTTAGAAGTGTCTTTATAACAGACTTCTCGTTTTTTTTACGGACTCGTTATAAGTGGACTCCACTGTACCACTAAGGGTAGTTCTCGTCATTACAAACATCTAATTCAGAAAGATCTTTTTAAAAAATCAATGATGTGCTTTGAAGTAAACACTGTTTTTCATGTTTGCCAGACGGGCCGCGTTAGGGAAAGGGTCTCGCTCACCAGTGCACTAGTGGCTAGGCATACAGGCAATTTTACATGCCATCGGTGTATCGGAAGCTCGGGCTCAAAGGGTTAATGGTAAATTATGTATCTTTCAAAATAATATTGAGCAAGCCAGTCTAGAAAGCAAAGGACACTTCATTCTAAGACCTTCTAGAAAAACAGACTACTACGAAAAGTCAGTAGCATTGTGGGTCCTGACAGAAGTGCCAGGGGTTGATTTCATTCTATTTATCACAATGTATTTTGGTAGGTACATATGTATAGATCTATTTAAGTTCCTCGGGTCTCGCAAGCCCCTATTCAACTGAACATTACTACTTCATCATTTATCAAAACAATACCCCCCCCCCAACCAGGGCAGTGCTACTGACTGAAGTTGTCTTTAGGCCATTCCCAAAGGGGGGATGCACAGTAAAATTGTAAATGGGCTGATATATCAATGTCATACCCATTCTGTGCCGGGACAACATTGGGGGAACTGCTGCTTTTTCTTTCTTCGTCCATACTATGGTCATTTTTCCTTAACTTCTTTTGTTTTGTTTGTCACTCTTTTGGGAACTGCTATTTCCATGGTGCCTTGATAGTCGAAGCAGACTTTGTGCTGTCGAAGCTAGAGAGGTGAGTAGAGTAAGCCAGATTCCCTGTTCTCTGTTGACATCCACCCCCAGGCGCTTATACGACCTTATGCATTTGCGAGCGCCTTAAAACCTTACTAAAACTAAACAAAACAATAAATATTTAATCAACATTAAAGCAACAAATCAAAGATTAAATTTCCAAACTCATTCTCACCTGTCAAAGTAACCATTTTATTGCACTATGAAGCTGTCCATTGTAACATGTCAACAAAAAAATGTTTTACAGTATTTTACTTTCTGCAGTCACCCAATCTACAGCACATCATGCTAACTTGATCTCGACTCAGTCTGCACTTCTACCCCACAGTCCTAGTCTAGGGATGGCTAAAAAAAAAAAGGTTTCCTTTCATTGACAAAAAAATAAACATTTTTTTTTCTAAAACAAGAACTTACAAAACTGAAAGAAACGTCAATACAAAAAAAATATATCTGTTATAATTTCTCTTGAGCATGGAAATTCATGGCCCTCGCAGTACATTGTTGAGAAGACACAAGCACAAAATACGTATCACAAAGGTCAAATGCAATCTTAAAAGACAGCTTATACTCTTTAATATAACACCAGTGAAACAGAAAGTTCAGTCTGCCATAATTATAACAAAGTTCACATCAGTAAAGATGACTGACAGCATTTTAGAATGCAATTTCATTAGTTCTGGAGAACCAACAAAACAAAAGAGTACATTCTTATAACTTCATTATTTGAATCAGTATCTAAGGGAATGAACAACAGTGTTTAAATCTGACATTTCAAGGAGTGACTACCAAGCTCTTTGTTGAGTCCAGGTCTTTCCTAGACAGCACCTCCGGTGCTTCAGTCAAAGGGATGGACAACACTTCATTACATCTGAAAAATGATAACAAAAACTATTATAGAATCAAATTGAATATACAAATATAATTATAATACAACAAAATAAGACTTCTTTTTTTTTTCTTCCTCGTTCTCGGCAAAATAAGACAAATGTTTATTGCCCAGACGCTGGCACAATGGTTTCGTGCCCCCTCCCCCCCCCCCCAACCCCCGATGCCAGTGAGATGGTTTGGGCACATTTTTTTTACGACTTTGACGTCAAATTAGCTGAAAACAGGTCTCTTTTACCGGGAGTTCTTTCATTAGATGGACAACTATCAAAGCAAGTTTACTTGTTTTGACTTAATGATCAATTTAATGTGGTTTCTTAGGAGACTGCTAAGAGTATCGTGGAAGGAAAAGAAATCAAATGAGGTAGTGCTTGATGAAGCCCACATGGGACTCTTAATGTTAAAAATAATCAGGAAACGACAAATGCAGTTTTTGGGACACCTGAATAGACATAAGGGTCTTGAACACCTAGCTCTCACTGGCAATATTGAGGGCAAGCGAGGAAGGGGTAGGCCCAGAACAACATACTTAGGGAACCTAAACAAATGGGTAACAGGGAAAAATCAGGGAAACGTAGCTTTTCTGAGAGCATCCGAGCAAAGGAATGAATGGAAAATCAAGATCGCCGATGTCTGTCGCAGATCTGGCACTGGATGATGATGATGATGATGATCAATTTAGTGATGTATTTGTCACTTTTAGATTTCGTATCAAAAGAGGGCTCGGCATAGTGGGTTTTGCCCCCTCGGAGAAAGAGACTTAATGAATAATTGTAAAAAATGACCTTTTGACTTTGTACCTTCCTTTATTACACAGCAGAAGTATAGGTCTTTTTCCTCATATTGATATTATAATTTGAAGGAAAAAGTGATGTTGCCTGTCCAAAAAGACAGAACAATTTGCTGTTAGCAAATGAAACAACTATAAAAGACATCCAAATTACTTCCTTATTAAATTAATTGTCCGACCGGTTGATAATGATCTGCGCTAATACATGTATCTTTTTCATGACTCTCTTCAGATCAAATGAGTCAAATCAATCCTGATATCCTCTTGGAAACTGAAGTTATGGTTCCTTGAGTAATAAATACTGCACTGTTATTTTCCTTGGGTAAGCCTTTTGTGATTGTGTTATGATTAATTAAATCATTTCAAGGTAAATATTCCAAAACAAATAAGATTTTAGCTGCAAGAATGATCCCCTAAATGTATACACGCGTAAACTATGTTAACAGAGCTGAAAAAAATCAATCGTGTCTAAGGACAAACACTCATGAACTACATTTGTGTTCAAGAGACAAGAACAGTTTTTAGTTTTAGTAAGAGTACAAAAGCACTTGCAACGCAATAAGGTCATAAAAGTGCTGAAGAATAGAGGTGTTACAAGAAAGTACACAAAAAAGAAGAAAGAGAGATTAGGATGATAGATGTTTGAAAGGAAAGAAGGAGCAAACCACACCACACACAAGAACAATAAAAGAACCATATGTTATGATATCCTGATTAATAGCATAGGAAAAAATGATTAAACAGAATGATTAATTTAGGCATACCTGAACTCTCCATTTTGAATACGATCCATGATATCTTTAAGAATATCTGATGCAGTTAAGGGACAAGTATTACTAGACGGTGAAACAGAAATATTATGCAAAAAATCAGTTTCATTTTAGAGCTCAACATCTTCACATCAAACTGCAGTAACAGACCAAAAAGATGTTGGCAGTATTTTGTACAAAAGCAAAACTCTGGGAAATACTCAAGTCAAAGGTAGTTCACGCAGTACAAAAATCTTTGGACAGAAATGAGCAGTAAGCACAGTAAACACAGTATATCAAGTAAACCAAATTTTCTGCATTTTCTCTGGTAATGACACTGACATTTCTGGATTATCTTCATTATTTCAGACATTCCTAGCAGGGCCATGATTTTTAAACATGTATGATTTCTAAAAATTCAAAGAAAGCATATCTTTAGAAAACATGAAATAAAACAAAGTGTTACAAAGCACACCTCTATTTTAATCCTATTTTGAAAGTTGCTTCTTTGAAGAAATCTTTAGATGATGGAAGCACTTACAAACCAGCGGGATAGTTTGTGTATCAAATTAAACCCACAAGAGCTCTGCTCTGACTATGTGGGACAATCCAGTATATATTGGAAGGTTGTACGTACAAATGTTCAACATTATTGCCCCTCAACATTCAGAACTAATCAAATAACTAAGTTGGTAAGGAAAAGAGGGGAGACAATCTTGGTCATCAGGTACTCCTGAAAATAAGGAGAAAGATTTACTGGCTGCTTGTTGAATTTCCTGCTGTATGGATGTGAGACCTGGAACGCATCTCAGACTTGAAATAAAGAGGATCCAGGTTTCCTTGAACAAGTGTCTCAGGAAGTTGCTGAGGATCAGATGGACAGACAGGATCACCAACGAAGACGTATTAAGAATATGAGACAGAGCCCAGTCAGAGATGAAGAGGGAAGAAGGCGTTCGCGATGGATTGGACACACTTTCAGGACATCAAGCAGCTGCATAACAGGGAAAGTGTTAGATTGGAACCCACATGGTAAAAAGGGGTAAGGCCACGTGGAACCTGGAGAAGAGTCACAGAAATGGATGTACAGAAAAGTGGGAAGACATGGAGCGACATCAAGCGACAAGCACAGGATAGGGAAAGGTGGAAAGTGTTTGTTTGTGGCCAGTTCCTGATCCAGAGTGAGAAAGGCTAAGATGATGATTTGCATTTCCAACTTATAAAAATCCCAACAAGTGCTTACAAAGATACAATTGGCACAATGAAAAGATCAAAAAGTTAAGAAAATAAAAATGAAAGCTAAATCTTTGTCTGCATTGACCAAAATATTCTGAGCTCATCTTCAATAAACTCTCCATCAAAAACAAGATTATGGTTACCACTTATGTTATATCAGTGCAATAAGTAATACAGAATTATGTACAGTACTGTGTGCACTCAAGGGACTTTTGAATTTTATCATTGTTATTTTGCGCTCTTTATAGTCTTCCTCATTTTTATAAAATTGTACACTGAAGTGGTGGGCAGGTCACAAGCACTCACTTGAAGTCAGATCAGCAAGAAACATGGCATTGACTTCGACAATTCAAAAGAAAAATTATTGTTTATATTTAATAAATTTGCTAGTCTAATCAATAAACAACCACAAATTATCCATCCTTGAAACATACGCCACTCTGCTCAAGATAATACACTATGTTCACTCCATTTCCACATTGTTAAAAAGAGAGGAAGCTCATCACTAATAACATAAAAAAATCTCAGCACTAGTTTACTTGCGAGAACATCAACAATAAAAAAGGATACGGAGAAAGCGGCCATGCTGTGCCTTCATCAAACACCAGGCAGGAGGGAATAAGAAGGACACTGATGCTCCTCGTAAAAACAATTGCTGGCTGTCTGGGGGATCCAGCTACGCAAAAAAAAATAATACAAACATGTTAAGCCTCATGCCAAAATCATAAGATTTTTTCTTCAAATTACAGAACAATTTGAATTTTATTTTGCGACATTGTTATGTGAGCATATTGCAAAAACTTTTATTTTATTACTGTCAAATTATACTGCTGATACTTTAAAAGATCAGGATATTAAGTAGACAAATTGAGAAAGAGAAGAAAGTAATTGTGATTTAACCAAACTATTACTTTTTTACTTTCACAAACTAAACAGGACATACTGTGACAAAAAGAGAAAATGTACGAGAAAAACCACAAGAGAAAATACAATAATAAGCAACTAAGATACAGTCCAATTAATTTTTACATCATAAGATAAATAGCAAAAATACCCCTATGACTCTATGACTAAGAAAACAATAAATTACAAGGACAGAACATAAACCAACTTTTCCCAACACTTTCAATACAAGGCAACTCTACACAGTACCTGTAAGTTTGGCTGAGAAGAGACCCATTTTCCTGAAAATCCTAAGCTGCCTATGATGTCTTGCTTGTGCGGCACTGATCGTAATGCTCTTTCTTCCATCATATCTTTGTCTTCTTCATTGGTGAAGAGACGGACTAGAAGTGGAAACAGTAAACAGATGGTAAAATAGGAAGTATAATACAACAAAACCAAAATGGCACCCATAGTATCTCAATTTAGAGCTAAAGATACTAATTCATGAGTTATAGCAGGGTAAAAGAATACAGGAAGAAAAGAATGTGATGTTCTTTTTCTTGTAAATTCTTACAACTAAGAACCACGGTGACAGTTCAATATCACACACTTTTTCTCATTTTTTAACTCATTCGCTACGCCGAGCCATGGGGCCGCGCCATCAGTACGCTAAGCCGCCCCCGATGGCTCGAGAACCGATCTTCAATTTTAGCTTAGATTCTATTCCAATCCGCATATCCATGTTAAAATGAAGGTCATAATATAATGTTGACTTCCGGTTCAAGCATTTCCACTGAAAATCGGAAGTTTAGATTCAGTTTTGAAAAGTGATTTCTTAGTTTTTTCGACTTTGTTTTATCGCGATGCCAAAATTATACCCCGGAAACCAGTCTTAGTAATTTTACATAACAAAATCAATACTTTTTGATGAAATTACCCAAAAGATGCCATTCAAGACATGTATAGGTTTATTCCAAATGCAATTCTGAATAATTCCATATTAGATACGAGTGGGTTTTTATCTCTTTGTGATTGTTTTTCAAGATTAAAATTAAAATTTTTTTTTTCAATATCGGATGTTATGATCCAAATGTACAAATATTATGGAATGTATGTAAATAACTGCAAACTTTTCGATATTTTCCAGTTCTATATTCATTTATGGTTGTTTTGATATATCATTTGACTAGGTGCAAGCATATTTTTTGAGTTTCACCAAAGATTATAAAGTTTTTATTTTCAAATTTTATCCGCATCCAATCAAAATTGTGTTGCATAATCGCCTCTTACAGGAACCAAAGTTGAAAAATACATAAATGAACATTACAGATGTATTCTACAATCCATACTGAAAATATTGGTATATAATATGTTGATATTTATTTGAATTTGTCGCCCCAAAGACCTTTCAACTGTCCACTAGTCATCATCTCATTCGCCCTCCCGAAAAAAATTTGTCCACAAGCCGAAAATAATACGTAGCGAATGAGTTAAACTATGTTTTTTTGCTTGTACCCTCTGGATATATAAGCTCACTTTTGTTTTCTCATTGTCCTTCTGTGAGCTTGCAAGTGTGTGAATAATTTATAGTTTCCCATGGTTAAAAGCAACACCTCAAATATGTCAATCAGGTTTGAAACTCACAAACAGATTAATAAGGAACACTAAGCACTCTCATGACAGCACCTATCAACAATCTCAAAGCCCTTATTCAAAGTTTTTTTTTTTCAGAAATAAAAACCCTTACCACCATTGTCGATGATACAGTCTACGCCAACTCCACCTGTCTCCTCTTGGACTGAGCTGGCCAGAATATTTGTTCTCTGAGTCAGCTCAATAGCCTGGGCTGGGAAAAACAGGGGGGGAAAATTAACAACATGCCTGATTTAATGCAAGCAAAAACTAGCTTTACACATCAGTAACCTATGTGGACAAATGGATCAAAGACAATAAAACAAAAATGAAATGAAATATCTACCATTTCCTAAGACACTCAAACATTCCTAAGCAAATTTAAAGAGGGTGATGAAATTATAGCCGACTGTAAGTATAATTATGTAAAAAAAAAAAAAAAGACATACCTACAGGAGGTTTCATACTCTCTAAAATTTGCTTCTCTCCTTGAGTTTTGTAGGTTGATAAAACCTGAAAAGTGAAAAATAAGGAGAATGACCTGTATGTGTTTTTATACAAAGTTACGATAACAAACTAAAGTCTATCACTGTCTTTTGATAGACAGGTCACACATTTGTTTGGAAACAGGGACTGGAGAGGGATTATAAATCACTGACAAACTCACAAAATTACCCTACAACAATGCAATCTGGTCAACAGGAAATCGCGGTCTTGCGGTCGCATTTTTCGTCGAGGTCCGCAAGAAACCCGCAATTTTTTGCAATTTCGCAATTTCTCGCAATTTTAGGCAAAATTACATCAACGTTTTAATTTTAACAGAATTTTTTATTCGAAATGGTGCAAGTACAGAACCGATAGGCCTACGTAAATCATGGTTTTGGCCCAGCTCTAGTCAACTGGGCGTACTCTAAAAGCTATAACTGAAAATTCAGGCCAGAATACATCATGTATCAGACAAACTGAGACAAACTAATGTGTGCAAGTGTAAGCGTGCCCGTGTACTAAGAAAGTAGGTGTGTGCGTGTGTGTAGTGTGCATGTGTGTGCGCGTGTAAGGTGTGTATGTGTGTGTGTGTGTGTGTGTGTGTGAGCGCGCGTGCATGAATATTTTCGTACATGATGCATGTGTCTACATACACGGGCACCTAGTCTCAGTATCTACGTACACTGTAACTGGAAAGAAAATAAATCAATATTTGTTCTGTGCTGTCACTTGTTGAAAAAAAAAAAAGAAAGTCATACATGTACAAGTGTCTTGTCGGGCTCACCATCGTGACCGGTCAGTGAACCAGTGCTTTCGCATCACATTGTGAGTACCGGTTGGGGTCACCAAAGTTCATTCAAAGTCTGTGCGCTGCAAAGTATAGGGCTCCGAAATGGGGGGATCATTGATTTTTAAAAAAAGTACAGTCGGGAGAGGGCTGGGGTTGAAGGCAACACCGAATGACAAAAACTGAACTTGGAGTTCTGAATTGCCCTGTTACCGTGTACGTGACACTGAGGCTAGGTGCCCGGTTACCGTGTACGTAGACACTCCCTTAAATGTAAAACGCCTTAAGCTGCGTTCACACGAGAGTGGTCGCTATAGAAATGATCTACATTATTATTACTATTAAATGGGGAAAAAATTTGCTGTATTTTACGATTTGACATAGAGTTAAAACAATATCACAATACTGATTTTAAAAAAGGAAAATATCTGTAATAGATCTAAATACAGATTACCGGTGTATCGAAGGTTTCAAGAGAAAAATAGAATAGGATCTGAATTGATTGGGGCATAAGCAAATTTTGCATTTAGAGGATGTTCGAATCTCCCATCAACTTTTTTTGTTTTCATAGACTAAACCTCATACTACACTTCTAGATCTTTGCATGAACCAAGTACCCGGTATTACTAACTTTGGTCAAATTTTATGCCTTCATTTAAAAGTTATTACGAAAACCGAAGGTTCCGTTATTTAGGGTCACGCTGTATTATATTATATTTGGTCAATAACTTTATTGTTAACGTACTCGTGTGTTGTTACTAGTAAATGTTGTTAATAAAATTTGTATAGTGAGTCATGATTTTTTAAAAGGCTGTTCTGCTTTTATGCTACCGGTACTCAAATTGTCATGTTTTTTAAAACTAAAAATGTTAAGCCCGTATTAATGCACCTGGGGTAGGAAGGTTGCAAATTTTTTGCAATTTTTAGGCAGTTTACCTTGCTTTTTTTTAGTGCAATTTTTCTATTTCAAAAATGCAATTTTCCGCGGGGCCAGTGAAATGAACAGAATACCTTTTGATTATTTTTATTTATACACAACCAAAAAATAAAACAAGAGATTGATTTGGTCTGGACTTCATTAATGGCACCTCATTATCAAAAGAGACAAACCCCAAGACAGAAAAGGTTACCCTCTTCTCATTCATCCATTTCTCTGTTCCAGCAGCTCTATGGGTAAAATGACTAAGTGTATGAGTATTTTGACTTCTTTTAAACAAATATTACAAATACAGAATAGTTCTATTTCAAGAATAAACCTTTAAACACTTATCAAATTCAAGCAGGCCTATTGATATGAGCGAGGATTTTTCTACTGTGTTTATATTTTCCCATCAAAACTTTTGCATTAGCTATCTCTGTAAAAGATAGCAGCTTCTAAACAAAATGCATAAAGGCCTACCTTAGCACCCCAAGCTTGCGCAACTTGCACGGTAAAACTTCCACGAGGTGTTGCTCCTTCTAATACCAGCACAGTGTCACCAGCTGTCACATGACCTTGGTAGTGTACAGCAGTGTAAGCTGACAGACCAGCACCAATAGAAGCTGCTGCCAATTCATAACTTACAGAGGATGGTTTTTCCACTGAAAAAAAGAAAGATTTCATTGATTTGCCTACAGTTATTTTTTTCTTCACAAAACTAGGGTATTCTGCACCAAATTTCCATCTCATTTTTTACCCAAAAAATTTGCCTGCTGAGAGCAAGAGATATTTAGATATAATACATTGTTTCTTAAGTTTTCTAAAATATTTATAGTAAAAAAATGTTTTTTCCAAAAATGCTGTCAACCCTACCGTAAGAGTTCTGGTCCCCCTCCGGGGCAGTGCCACTGACTAAAGTGTCTTTAGGCCATTCCCAAAGGGGGGACATTTCTCATTCTTTTGCACATTAGAATTGTAAATGGGCTCATTCAACAATGTCACGTATAACTGTGCCTGAACTACAACAGGGAACTGCTGCTTTTTCTTTCCTAATCCTAACTATCGTCATTTGCCTCTACTTCTTTTGTATATTTGTCACACTCTTGTGACCCGCTATTTCTGGGAAGCCTTGAAAGTCGAAACAGACTTTGTGCTGTTGAAGCTAGAGAGGTGAGCAGAGTAAGCCCAATTCACTGTTAAGACTTCTCTGTTGACATCCACCCCTTGGCGCTCATATGACCTTATGCAGTTGCGAGTGCCGTAAAACCTCTACTATAAAGAGTTCTGGTCAAATGCTGAATCCAAAACGGCATAAAGAGCTGAAATTTTTGCTTAAGTTTATCGTAAGTGTACATAACTCTTCATGTTAACAAGAAATTTTAAAAGTAAGAAGTTTAATGAGAAGAACAATGTTATGATGGGTTTATCAAACTTTTCACCTACCAACATCAAACTGGTTGCATATGCACATCTCACCACATCCAGCCAGCTCAAAATCAAAGGACACGAAACCTGAATACAAAAACACAACAAAAATGTTAAGATGCTTCATGAATGAATGTCAACTATGATCGATTCTTGAAGTCTACTTCCTGATGAAATACCTCAAAGCAAAGTTTTAACTTTCAGAAACAGAAACCGAGTAAATCTCATGAGACCTTTGCCAAATGGTCCAGGAGGAAGTGACTTTTTTTGTCACAGGATAGTGACAATACAACTAATTCAAGGCTTACTGAGATCATGATTTGAAACCAGGGTTATTAGCAGTAGGATTTTAGTTGGAGATTACCATATTACTAATTAAATACTAACACATAACAGCACAGAATAAAGTTTCTCTGATAGCTCATGATCTTTTAGCTCTTTAAAGAGAAGAACCACTTTTAATGTGGACTCACTGGGTTCGCAAAAGTGTGTTCATGTTCTTTACAGTCATTTTACGATGGGTCACTAGAACAGCTAGCTTCTACTTGCATTGAAATAAAGAGACGCTGAGGCCATGGTAAATTCTAGACGAGGAGAGTTTATTAGAAAATTAACAAGAAAACAAATAATTATGAGCAGTCTAAAAGCCAAATTCAGTTAGATGACATACCTACAACAGCCATTCCTTCCTGAAGAGATTCAACCTGTGAACCAATCTTGACAATGTCGCCAGCCACATCTCTACCAAGGGCACAGCTCTTGAGTGAAGAAGTGAGCAGTTGTTGGTACCTCTGGAATATACCAGTAATATATTACTTCAACAGTAAAAAAGAAAATCAAGAAAAAACTACTAAACCATTATCCTAACTTCTACAGCAACAGTCTGATGTTTCAGTCTGAGACTTGCCTTTGAATTGAGCACTAAGTCATTGAGGACACACATTCTGGTCAACTAGTTAATTACTTATTTGGTATGTTTTAAAGAAATCAGTTTAGCTCTTTTCTTTTTAACTAATGGCGATCTCTGTTAGTAACAAAGAAAAAGAAGTTGTTTTGTTTTAAAAGCTTGAGACTATTACTGTACATGATAGAGAACGGGAAGAAAAAATACAATACCCCCCCCCACCAACCTCCCCCCCCAAAAAAAACCCAACCTACTAGCAAAGCACTACAAAATAAAATGAAAGAGAATCAACTTGTGACGAACAAATTCTGTATGCCATACATGTGAAGTGATATGGTGAATGTATAATAATCATACAACAAGGACTGGGTTTTGAAACCAAAAGCTTTTTAAATGAAGAAAAAAATTATTTGACTCGGTTTATGCACTTACCCTCTCCTCTTCTAAGTTCACAGCACATGCTTTCACCTTTATAAGCACATCATTGGGTCCAAGGTCAGGAACACCATGCTTAAAGAAAACAAAAACAAGTTATCAACTTTTCAGTTAGATTGTAGACGAGAGATTTTCTTATAAAAATTTTGAAAACTCAAGATTTACTTGATCTGTGGTTCCAAATCTAAGAAAAATATCCCAAATGATCCACCCTATTCAGTCAACAGTAGTATTATAACATTATAACAATTTTTTATAGTAGAACCAGCTCTGACCGCCTCCTGTATTAGACAATCACTTGTACAAACAGCCAAGTCCCATCAACCCCCCCCCTTTGCGTTTTTAAAAACATTACATTGACTCTGTGTAAGGTGGCCACCAGTCTAAGATGCCCACTTTTCTCCTCGACAATGAGTGCCAATCTTACACAAATTCGACTGTAATTTGTTGACAGCCACTACATTTTACAAGACAATTCATTGTGATTGTTCTTGTAACTCTTGAGTCGCAGTCGGATGAATAATTTCGTATAGATACCCTTAGTTTTGGCACAATGCGTGTCTAAGTTCAGCGTGTCCAGTTCAGATCAATTTTTCCCCCAGCTCACGGCAAGCCAGGGCGGACACAAAAAAGTGTACTGCCGTGGCAACGCAGGGTGAATTGGGAGTGATGCTAAAGTCTAAAAGACAGAAAATCATATATATATATATATAAATATAAATATATATCCTGACACTGATCGTTAAGTTTAATTTTTTCATTCTAAAAGTGTCTTTTAAATTTTCTTTTTAGTGCTTTTGAGGAGGGTATGAGGGTTTGCCCCTCACAATTTTGAAGAAAAATTCCACGAGATCATTATAGACATAAACTTTGATTAAGGGTGAATCATTTGGAATTTCTGCCAAATTAAAAAAGATCAAGATACATTTTTACTTTCTTCACACCCGCACTGATTCAGGGGTAAAACTGCAATATTGTTGTTAGCAGTATATATATTCATAAAGCCACTAAAACTGTCGCAAATCAATTATTTTCAAGAAAATTTCAAAACTAACTGTAAAATATCAAATTATGGGTTAAAACATGCCCCTCTGTAACCCCCCAGATTTTATTTTCCATCAAAGGGGGGCAGGCCCCCTGAAACCCCTCGATTGGTTCGAAGTGCGCAAAAGGCGGTTTAGGCACTATAGCTCGAAAAAATACTTAAATCAAATATTTCAAAGACTATTAATTTGCGACGGAAATGAAGTTGACAAATTAGTGTTCGGCGCATCAATATTTACATCTAAATTTCCAGTAGAAAAACTGCTAAGTGTGAGACGAGAGGGAAAGTCAAAGTAAAAGAATACCCAACCCCTGGCCCTGTATTTTATCTCAATAAAATTTAAACACTTCTACTGTAGTAAGTATTGAATTGACATCTAAATCTATAAACCTGTTTATAAAAGCTGTCCTACAAGACTGTATTTCCAACATTGCTCCATTACTGACTTACTTTCTAGTCTGTGGTGTGAGAAAGCCAGTTTGTGTAGTTATGGTTGAAGTAGTTGTAGAGAAAGGGAAACTTTTCGGCGCTTTTTCGGTAGTTCCCACCCCCCTTATTTGATTGAGCCTGACCTACATCTAGATCTAGATCTATATACGTTTGATTCGCGGCAAGCTAAGATATCAAACCTAACAACTGCAAAACATTAAATTGTGGTAAAATTCAGGGGGGCATGCCCCCCTGAAACCCCCCACCATGTTTTTATTAGGTCAGGGGGGCAAGCCCCCCTGAAACCCCCCTACTCTTGGGGCCAATACCGGCGAATAACAATGCGGGGTGGGAACTACCGAAAAAGCGCCAACTTTTCATCCAATTTTTATTTCGAACAGTTACTCACACTGTGTGTATGCTATTCTTGACTTTCATCCTTGGGCCAAATTTCACTAAATCATACATACCTCTTCATTCGTAAGAACAGCGTCTGGCCCAATGAAGTTTCCTCTCAAAGTTTGCATTGTTAACAACATTAAAATTCAAACTGTTTTCCCCTGTTTGATTTTGAGTTTTCTCCGCCTACGCTAGGCTAGGCTAGGCCTCGAAACCTAGCTTGTTGGTCTAATTCCTAATCTTCACACAAATGCACCATCTTATCAACAACGGAAATATATATCCAACAAATTTATACGTGATTACTCGTCAGTTCCACACAACTTTAGAGCAATACACTCAAATTTATGATATATAATAAGACTTTCTATGTGTGGAAACTGTGCAGTGGCAGACTCCTTCACAGTGTGTGGTGTTTGTGTTGATTCGACTCTATTTTCGAACAGCCTTGACTGTACCGTACGTGCTCGCAACAAATTGAAAATTTCCGGAAACGCCCCCTTACCCACAATACATTGCAAATTTTATGTGTCCACAACCGGGGGGCACTCCGCAAACTGATAATAATAATTTCGATCTGTGTGCCTCTTGTCGTGGGGTGTCAAAATAATGATTGTATTTTACATCAGCAGTTGAACTGTAAGATAAACTGCATTTGCATGATATGAGGATTTCAATGAGATAGTGAAGGTAAGACGGTCAGAATTGCTTTTGTGATCATAGATCTATAGATTCTAGAATCTCTACACAGACGACTTCAGACATGATGAGGAGATGAAGAAGACGGCGGAGTGTGCCGCAGTCTTCCTTCTCCCTCCCTTTTAGTTTACTCTACTTTAGCTACTAGTATTTTATTTGTATCCTATTGTCTATAGTTTAGTCTGAATCCCAGTTAATCTACTTGTATAGCTCGTGTCTCACCCGCAAGTCTTGGGTGCAGAGGTCAAAAGAGTATCTGAGAGCAGCAGTAGATCTACCAATGTTTTTCAAAATCAAAGCAATGTCATTGGGCGTGTTTTCTGTTTCTTCTGACATGTTCTGCTCTCTCTTGTCTCAATAACTAGATTCTAGATCTAGATTCTAGAGAAGAAATAAATGATCATGTCCGATAGTTGGGACGAAACTCTAAAATATAGAGAGTCTAGAGGAAAAAGACCTGGCTGTCTTGTATTCGTTGTCTTGCGGTTGCGACTGCACTAGATTCTAGATCTACCACTACTGTAAACATCGTGGCGCTTAAATTTGATAGTACCCACCCCCCAATTCTATTACTTGCCAGTTTTGGCCCAAAGAGTTGGGGGGCTTCCCCCTGACCTTATAAAACTATGGAGGGGGTGGGGGGTTCAGGGGGGCAGAAGTTTACCACCATAATTTGATGTTTTGCAATTGTTGGGCATGATCTCTCGCTCACTGCGCATCAAACATTAAGATCTAGAAATCTAGATAGTCTAGATCTAGGCCCAAATAAGGGGGGTAGGGACTACCGAAAAAGCGCCAACATCTCTTCCTCAAATTTTGATTGGCCTAGTGTTTGTATATTTGCATTGTAGATCTTAATGTGAATATTAATGATATTTTGATAATTTGATGGCCCTGCTTTTGACTTTGAATATTTTGTCAAAATGTATTCACTGCTCATACTCATACACTGCCCCTCCCCTGGCAGTGATTACTACTGTCCCTCAGTCTCTGCCTTTACTCTTGATAGACCTACTTGATGGTCGGTTACTTTTGACTTTGATATTTTGTCAAAATGTAGGCCTACTCACTAACCTGCTCTTACTCTCAACACACTGCCCCTCCCCCTGCAGTACTTACTACTGTCTCTCAGTCTGTCTCTGTCCTTACTCTTGTATTATTGTCGAGGATGGGTTCTCCTCTGAACTCTTTTGACTCAAGTTTTCTAAAGACTAAGCCCTGGCTGTTTTCTCGGTTATTGTACACTAAAATGTTAAAAGACACGAAAAGATATAATACTTTGGAGTGACATCACTGGTCATGGGATTTACAGCCATTGGAGATCTTCAGACTTCATCATCTTCAAGGTGCCCCGACATCGACAGTACCCATGTTCATCATTATGTTATCATGTCTTTTCGTGTCTTTACTTTACATATGTCTGTTTGCATCAGGTAAGGTTGAATTGCTTGACTAGTCACAATACAGGGGAAACTGTTGTGATAGGAATTGATTTCAAGCAATTTAATCTTACCGTTTCGTGTCTTTTTTTTATCCATTCGTGTCTTTTCATGATCAGACACGAAAAGACCGCAGTTTAGTATGACCCCTGTTTTCTTTATCCATGGTTTTAAAAAGTAAGCAGGAGACTCATTTGTCTTGTCATTGACTGTGTTTGTCGTGGGGTTTTTTTTTTAAGGGGGGGGGGGGATTGTTGACTGCTTAAATAAATGAGTCAGTGTCTATCTTGCTCCTTTAAAGAACCCCCAGCTATTGGTTGGCATTTCTTGTCGGTGCAGAGGAAGAAACTTAAATGTTTGGGTTTTTTTGCTGCTTCCCATCTCCCTTTTTTTTTCTTTTGTTGTTCACACCACAGTATTTTGATGATAATTTCATGGCATGTTTTAAAGTGAGATTTAGTTGCGAGCGCCGCAAAACCGTAACAAAAACAAAAACAAAGATTTTTATTTCAAATTATATTCCGCAGGGACAGTGAACTTACAGTCATGGCAGGAAGTCAAGGTATGTTGCAGCTGTAATTCGTCATTTAGGAAAAAAAACTGCTATATCATGTGAGGCATCATGGTGAAATCAGGCACTTGTCAAAATAATGAAATCGAAGGAATCGGCATGTTTCAACCAGTTTGGAATTTTTTTGCGAATATTTGTTTTTTGGCTCAACACCTTGTATGTCCATTCAAAAACATTCTTGTGTGTTGATTATTTAAAAAATGTTGAATGAAAGTACAAACAAATGTAAATTTGTAGTTTCCAAGGACTCTTGAGCTATGGAAGTCACCAAAATTTGGCGGCCATTTTCTCGCTAATTTTACTTCTGAAAACAGGCGACCCCACCTTCTTCAATCGTTAACATCTTGACTTCTATTCAAGATAAATGGATACTTTTTTCATCAAATGCAAGAACAATGAACAACCTTTAAGATGATACCAATAACGCCATATACCCAAAAATTGACAAGCGCCTGATTCCACCACGTCATGACTCATTTATATATTATAATATAGCACAGGTTTTTATTGATTGATGGAATGTTTGATTTTTTTAAAAATAAAAAATGTTGTTTTTACTTTGATTCATCTAAATTGTGTCTACTTTGCTATGTATGGGTACTTATTAATTTTATAATATTATATACGTCATTATTAATTTAAAAAGTTATCCCTTTATCGTGGAAGAAAAATGATTTTAATTCTTTGTATGAAGATCTATACAGAGGTTGTAAGCTTAGTTTTGAATAAAAGTCTTTAAGAGTTAATCATATTTTCATGGGATTTTGGAGGGGGGGGGTTACAGTGACACTCCATATACAAAAGTTATTAGAAATACTCGTCCCCCCCGCCCCAAAAAAAAAAAATTAATTAAATCCCCCCTTCCGTAAACAAACACACATGGTCTTTGCTGTTCTTCTAATTTCTCTAGAAATTTATGTGGTTTTTTTTAATTCAAAAAGTTTTTGAAACTGCAAGGGGCTGGATCACTTGAGAATAAACACCAAATTGTTGCATTTAAAAAAAAAAAGGGGGGGGGGGGTGTTTGGATTTTCCTTGCTTAAATTTTGAGATCCAAAGAATATATGGTTCCTTCTAAAAAGTGATGTAAAGGTCAGGACCACCAGATACAGATACATTATTTTTAACCAGTTTTCTGTATTTTAATCACATGTGGACAAGTAAAGTTAAATGTTTTGAGTAATGAAAGTCTTGGGCAACTGACTTAATCTTCCCTCTGATTTGCTCTGTGTTCATGTTCATGGTAGAATTATATTTATAGCCTTTACTTTTATATTCTTGATGGTTCTGCAGATGCTTGGCGAGTAACTGGGGAAGATCGGGCAAAGCATGATGACCAGTTTTATACCCTGAAGCCTGTCAATGGCTTTGTGACAGGTAAAGAAATATATATAAACCCTCTTTATGGCATATAATTTTTAATCTTAAAATGTTCAGTGTTTATTTGTTTTCATCTTATTCTAATTTTTAAGCAATGGCTTTTGCATTGATAAAAGCGTTGTTTTCTCAAACAGTTCATAAAGTGCTCAGTCTATTAAATAGGATGAGATAACATAGATCGATCTGTAAACAGTTATATAGATAATAAGACTAGATGCTGAATGAGATTCACAACTTAAAAATTTTTTTAATTGTTTCCTCTTATAATTGTATGAATGTGGATAAAGAATTAAATATTGACATTTATAGTGAAAGGCTTTTATTTATTAAATTTGTTTGTTTGTTTCTGACATTTCAAGGGATCATTTAAAGGTCAATGCATTTTATTTTTTCTGGCTTTTTAAATTTGCATTCTGCAGCTTGTGGTTGATAAATTATTTTTTTTGCAATTAAGTTAATTTTTTATTTTGGTTTGCACCTCGATACATACAAATGTTGATTGTGCTGTCTATGCTCACTGGAATTGAAGTAATTATTCTTTGCTATTTTTTCCCTGTTGTAAAGTTTTAAAAAAATTTTGTTTTGTTAGATGTGTTGGTTGATAACAGTAATATTTTCAGCTTCAAATCTACAACATAGTTAAAGCTTTATGACATATTGAAATTTTTGTCATTAATTTTATGCTTTTGAAAATATATATAAAAACCACTGGTCAAAGATCCAATCAATGAGTTGAGGAGGGGAGATCAGTCCACAATCTTCCAACTTAGAACACAACATGTGCCCCTCAATCAACATCTCAACCGAATCGGAGTAAAGCAGTCTGCTGCCTGCCCACTATGTGACTACTCCTCAGAGACAGTGGAGCATCATCTGTTCTTCTGTAGAAAACTAACCGATTTGAGGGGATGTTTTCTTCCCAGGCTACCCCACACATCTAACTGTCTCTACTCCTCAAGACTACAATTCGAGCAGACATGCAGCTATTACAGAATGGCATCATGCAGAAGAGTTAACGCTCAGATGCTACTGTATCGCTAATGACAACAACAACAAAATATATATTTATTTTTTTTCATTTTCTCAGGTACCCAGGCAAGAGATTTTTTCATGCAGTCTGGTTTAGCGACGAATATTCTTGGACAAATATGGTAACTTTAACTTGCAATTTTAGCTTATCAGTGAACTGTTTATTATTTCCAAAAGAATTTTTCGGGACATAAACTATTCTAAATTGATTTCATAAATCTCCACCCCAAAATTACAAACCTTGTTTTGAGAAATTGGATGTAAAAAATTTTGAGTTTCACATGTAAATAGTTTTTTTAATGCAATTCTTTGAATATGTTGATACCGACTTCAAATAATCTTACGATTATGGTAGAGCAGGTAGAACATTTGGTGAAAAATGTCAGATAGAACTTTGTAATTCTACGGTAGCAAAATATGTACTATTAGGAACACATGTCAAATTCTTATACTGGTTACTAACATGCAACTATAACTGAATTTGAATTTCTAGACGTAGTTTGAAATCGTTTTCACACATGCACTCTCAACATTATTGAATCCAGTTAAATCATCGGGGAACATGTTTTGCTAACTAGATTAAAGTTGAAATTGTAAAGCTGTACATGGACTTTTAAAATAAATAGAAATTGTTTGGTTATTACTGCACTGACTTATTTCTAGTGTTTATGAGTGATATTGTACCATTCAGTGAAAGAAAAAGCCTAATCCAGAGCACACTTTGATATTGTAGTGCATTATGATTTGTGACGTTGAGTACTTATTTTCAGGACATTAGCAGACATGAATGGAGATGGGAAAATGGACAGGAAAGAATTCTCCATTGCCATGCATTTAATAAAGAAAAAGCTCCAAGGATATGAGTTGCCCAAAGTTCTGCCAGCCTCCCTGAAAGCTGATCCAACTCCCATGATGGGTTCTTTCGCACAACCAGGCATGGGTGGACCCATGTCTCCTGCTATGGGAATGGGATTTCATATGGGAGGTAATTTGGTCATCTTCATTTGTTTTAGCTTTCTAGCATTAAAAGAAAACTTTCAAAAGAGGAAAATGGAACTTTTAATGCTTTGCTACCTGTCGCATTTTCTGTTGGTAGAAATACTGATTTTGATTGAAGCATGAAACTCCATAATTTCCATTGCGATCTTGACTAAATAAAATCTGTCTTTGATTCTTTTATTTTGAAGGTGCATACTTTTCTTATTGATTTGTCATTTCCTGGTAGTGTTTCTTCCGAAGTCACTGCTGTAGTATTGTGAATATGAAGTTCTGAAGTTCTCAGTTCTGCCGCTGAATTTGAACAGGTGTTCCAGCACCCATGGGTGGAGGAATGGGCATGCCTGTGGTTTCAATGATGCAGCCCCAGGCGTCTCTAGGCACGGGTACAATGACGACTGGATCCCTAGGCATGGGCCCTCGGATGGCCAATGGCACAGCTGGGGGTATTCAGCAGGTGCCAGGTGCTATGCCAGTTGCAGGGGTAGCTCCCACAGGTGAGCTCGTGTCAGGTTTTTTACAACTCTTAAAACGTGATAATTGATTACAGCATTCACTCTTTAGAATTGGAAATTTTGAATTTTTTTTTAGAATTGTGGACTTTTTCTTCTCTTCAAGGAAGAGAGAAAAGATATAATCTAGAATGCATTCTGGTAAACTCATGTCAAGTCTAATTCTTTCAGTGTATCCTTCTTATTTTGTTGGATGTAATACCTGTAATTGTAATAATTGTTTGAGCTTAAAGTGTACAGTAGTCAGCTGATAATGTGAAAGTTTCAAGTCTCCCCCGCTTTAACACTTTGCCGTCACTTGACGCAATAATGCGACGGTGAAGATTATCTGTTACGATCATGGGCCAGGCCCGAGAAGTCAGTTGTAATCACTCTCCTGGCTGGGTGACCAGAAGGGGTATTCTGTAGTGGTGGCTGTGTGACTGCAAAGTGTTAAAGGATAAGAAATGACAGACTTACAGTAGGTTGAGGAATATGTAGAAATATTTTAAAGATCCAGTCATAGGTAAAATACTTAGGTTTGTGACTGTTGACCTGTGTTTGTATTATATTGATTAATGATCCCTGTCTCTTTTACTTTGTTGTGTATAAAAAAACATAGAAAGAACTTTGAAAAGATATATATGTATTTGAAGTGAACAGTTTAGATAGGTATTTCAGTTTACAGGAACAAAATAAATGTCAAATTACATGTTGTCATCTTGGTTCCAGGTGTTCCTGGTGCTCCAGTCGCTGGACAAGGGTGAGTTATGTTCTTTCATGTTTTGCTTCTTACTATATTTATGATTCTGGTTAAGTCTTGCTGTAAGTAAAATGTCTTGATCACCTTACCATCTGGCAAGCTCATTCTTTTTCAGTAGGTTTTATTGGTCTATAATGAACTTGTGTGGGGTTAATTTCTTTCATTCTCCTTTGACTTAGTGTGTTTCTCACCCCCCGTTGTTACCCTTAACATTTTACTTCTGCCTTTCTGTCTTTTCAAAGTTTTCATTATACTGATTTTGTGTTTTATATGCCTTTCATGGGATCTTTAGTTATCGACATTCAATTTCTAAGTTGGTACTTTCACTGTTTAATCCATTTTTGAGCATCTGCCAATAAATCTGTGGGCTCTGAAACTTTAAAAGTTTTCAAATGCTTCTTTTTTACAGTTAAAGTCTCAAATGTTTCTCCTATGGGTAGATGCCTAGAAGTTGTTGAATCCTCATGTCATGTGTTTCATGTTGACATTTGTCTTTCTTCCTCAGGGGCAGTAAGTGGGCAATGCCTCACAACACAAAACTGAAACACACTCAAACTTTTAATGCCAACGATCGTAATAAAAGAGGATATTTGCTGGGTAAGTTTATAACTTAAAAGTAATAATCATGAAGATACTGAAGTCTCTGGGACATTTATGCTTGAAAATGAAGCTCAAGGGACTTTACAATCAGATGGTACATAGTATTGTTGAAACGTGAAATATTGTTAGTATTACTAAAGAATTTCCAAATAAAAGTTTGTAAAACATCATAATATAGGTCTATAGAGAAATATTAGGTAAAAAATGGCTTTTGTTGGCTTCAGTTCTCTAGAAATATATTCATTTTGCTGGGGGAGGGGGGGGGGGGGTGTTGAGAGAAGATTTCTGAGAAAATTTGTTCACCAAGTTCTTTGGCCTTGATTCGGTGTTGTCTGCTTATCCATATCTGTATTATCTTTCTTTTTTTGTTTTGGTTATCTTATGTTAATACTGAGATTTCACTTCCAGTGACAACATAATGAGCTGAACACAATCATTGAAAAGGGAAGTCTTCAAGCCTGAGGTCATTCAGCAGTCTTTGGAATAGCACATTTGCACTCTTTTTTTTTTCAGGTGTAGAAGCAAGAGCAATTTTGATGCAATCTGGATTGCCTCAGCAAGTTTTAGCTCAAATTTGGTAAGCTCTCATTGTGTTTGTGCTGTACATTTTGTTTAGGAAGATGTCTTTATTTCCTTCTGAGTTTTTATTGCATTTTGGAAGAGAGGTGGGGGATATGAGATTGTAGACTATGTGCGTGTCTTTATGTATAACTGTGGAAGCCGTAAATTATATTCCCCACAGAGTTTTGGAAGCCAAGAATTTTATTCCTGTAAAAGCTCAATAATTTTTTCATGTCTGTTTGTTATCTTTTAGGACATTAGCTGATATCGACAGAGACGGCAAGCTGACTTGTGACGAGTTTTGTATTGCTATGCATCTCTCTGAACTGGGGAGAATGGGCATTACTTTGCCACCAACTCTGCCACCAGAATTACTGCCGAGCAAGTCCCGATCAGGGAGTGTCACATCTCCCCCACCAGCCAGTGCCCAGCCCAGTTAGTGATATTTCTATTTGAACTTTCTTTTCAAAGTTTTTGCTAAATTTGGTTAACTTAATTTATGTTTTTAGCTTATTGGCCTTTTCGAAAAACTTATGTGATCCAAAATGAAGATTATGGTTTAAAATAATTTTTTCTTCCCTGATAGTTAAAAAGTGAGTGTGTGAGTAAAATGTTTAATGTACTGTAGTTGCTAAGTGTCACAGTTTTTAAAAATCAGATATAGGATAATGAGTGTTTAAGGTAGTCTTGCTCTGAGATAACAAATGTATAGATTGATTTTTTTTCTACATATTTTGAGAAACTGGTCTTTTTTTTCATTGTATTCACCCTCTCTCTTTCTGTCGCTCTTCAGCAACACCAAAGAAGGATGCCTTCACAGACCTCTTGGGTAACGCTGGCATGCCTCAGCCTGTTGCTCCTATTCCAGCTAATGCTCAGCCAGCTGAGGATTTGTCCATAGATGATCAGGGTAGGAAGATCTTTTTAAGATTGTTGTATTGATTAGTGGACTCATAAATACAGTTAGAATATATGTTTACGTGATTGAAAGATTAAAAGTTGATTTTGAGAAAGCAGATAAAGAAAACTCTTTGGACAAAGTGAAGGGAGTCAGAATATCAACTCTCAGGCAAGCTGGCATTGATGTTGCAAGTTAGTGTGCTCATGTTTCTTGTTCCAATAATAAGGCTCTTTACTTCTTTGTATTCTGTCTTCATATGCTTATTCTAATCACTGTAAGAGGATGAACTATTTGTAAAGATTCATGTATGCTACTTATTGCTTTTATATCACTGAACCCTAATTATTTTTAGATGGCTGACTTTCCTGGCCTTTTTAAAATTCCTTTAAGATAACTGTTTATTTTATATTTGAATAGTTGGAACTTGGAATTGCTGTCATTTTGATTTGTATTTATCGTGTCATGATAAACCTGGTACACATATTTAGTCCCCATATTTAGTAAATAATTATGTTTTTTAAATTCTTGTCTAGTTACTTTTGAGGACAAGAGAAAGGAGAACTTTGATAAAGGCCAAGCAGAACTTGAAAGGAGGAGAGCTTTGTTGCGAGAGCAGCAAAAGAAAGAAGAAAATGAACGTTTGGAAAAGGAAAGGCAAGAGGCTGAGAAGCGAGAAAGGCAAAGGTAATGTGGCTTTCAGAAAAATATGGGTCACAAAAATGGATTTTGGTATTCATTTGAATAGTTAGGTCTTGTCTTGTTTACCTAGGTCTTGTCTTGTTTACCTTGCAGAAATTATAAAGCTGAGTTGATAAAATTTTTATCTTTTCTATGTCTTGGTTCAGTAGCCTGATTTTATAGAAATTTTGTGTACTCTTACATCACTATTTCAAAATATCTAACCAGAGCAAGACTAACGTACAGGCAGTGATAAAAGATTTGGGGTATATGTATCTTCTGTTTTTTTGTCATACAGTGCTGTTTGGATTGTTTAAAGCAGCATTGACTGAGGTCGTGATCGCAGCTGTATTTTAAGTAGATAATTTGTTATATCTGTTCCTGCATGAAAGGTTATATTTTTGTTAAATATTAAGCTTGAATTTTTATTTTCTTTGCACCTGTGAATTAGGTTGGAAGCTGAAACTCGAAGGCAGGCTGAATTTCAAAGGCAGCTTGAGAAACAGAGAGAGAAAGAAAGAGAGATTGAAGAGCAAAGACGAAAGATGTTGGAACAGAGAGAAGTAAGTAGAGGATGTAGTTTGAGCTGCATCAGTTTATGCTTGAGACGAAATTCTAAGTTACCAAGAATACAAGGACCACATTATTTTCATGTTGGGTTGCCTGGGGATGGGCAGATTTGTAAAATAACATTGAACTAAAGTGTGGCATAGCTGAAATAACAGGGTTGTTTACTTCATTACCAAGTAAGCAGTAGACTGCAGGCGAGCATTTTGGATATTGTTTGTAATGCCAATAGTTTTAGGGCAGTGCATTTGTTAGAATGAATTTGATCTTGTACGGTGTATACACTCCTGGGGGGGAGGGGGGATTTTGGTGATAGTTAATGGTAGAAGCTGAGATTTTTTGGGCACAGGGTAAAAAAATTTTTGTGGGGGGGGGGGGGTTGTACTGTTCTAATTTCTCTAAAATGTATTTTGATTAGGCTGCTCGGCGAGAGTTGGAACGCCAGAGGCAGATGGAATGGGAAAGACAAAGAAAAGAACAACTGATTGCTGAAAAGCAACGGGAGTATGAGCAACTGAGTATACTCAAATCACAGATGGCCAAACTGAAGAATGAACTGGAGTCCTTGGTAAGATTTTTAACACAGAGCTTCTTAAAATGCCATATTTTCATACCTTTGCTTTGAGAGAGAAAAAATGTGTTGATTTATCCTCTTTACCCACTTTCAAAGTGAAGATGAAATAAAATGCTTTTTTATAATTGTGTATCGTTATGAAGTTAGTTGTTTTTTCTTTTTTTTTTTCTTTTTTTTTTTAGAATAACAGTGAGTCATGTCTGTATGTTGTGGATAAAAATTTAAAATGGTTTCTTTTCTTTTTTCTTTGCCTCTGTTTTTGTTGGAGTTTTATTGTTTGTTTGAGATTGTAGACTATGTGCGTGTCTTTATGTATAACTGTGGAAGCCGTAAATTATATTACCCACAGAGTTTTGGAAGCCAAGAATTTTATTCCTGTAAAAGCTCAATAATTTTTGAATCCCCCCTACTCTTGGGGCCAATACCGGCGAATAACAATGCGGGGTGGGAACTACCGAAAAAGCGCCAACTTTTCATCCAATTTTTATTTCGAACAGTTACTCACACTGTTTGTATGCTATTCTTGACTTTCATCCTTGGGCCAAATTTCACTAAATCATACATACCTCTTCATTCGTAAGAACAGCGTCTGGCCCAATGAAGTTTCCTCTCAAAGTTTGCATTGTTAACAACATTAAAATTCAAACTGTTTTCCCCTGTTTGATTTTGAGTTTTCTCCGCCTACGCTAGGCTAGGCTAGGCCTCGAAACCTAGCTTGTTGGTCTAATTCCTAATCTTCACACAAATGCACCATCTTATCAACAACGGAAATATATATCCAACAAATTTATACGTGATTACTCGTCAGTTCCACACAACTTTAGAGCAATACACTCAAATTTATGATATATAATAAGACTTTCTATGTGTGGAAACTGTGCAGTGGCAGACTCCTTCACAGTGTGTGGTGTTTGTGTTGATTCGACTCTATTTTCGAACAGCCTTGACTGTACCGTACGTGCTCGCAACAAATTGAAAATTTCCGGAAACGCCCCCTTACCCACAATACATTGCAAATTTTATGTGTCCACAACCGGGGGGCACTCCGCAAACTGATAATAATAATTTCGATCTGTGTGCCTCTTGTCGTGGGGTGTCAAAATAATGATTGTATTTTACATCAGCAGTTGAACTGTAAGATAAACTGCATTTGCATGATATGAGGATTTCAATGAGATAGTGAAGGTAAGACGGTCAGAATTGCTTTTGTGATCATAGATCTATAGATTCTAGAATCTCTACACAGACGACTTCAGACATGATGAGGAGATGAAGAAGACGGCGGAGTGTGCCGCAGTCTTCCTTCTCCCTCCCTTTTAGTTTACTCTACTTTAGCTACTAGTATTTTATTTGTATCCTATTGTCTATAGTTTAGTCTGAATCCCAGTTAATCTACTTGTATAGCTCGTGTCTCACCCGCAAGTCTTGGGTGCAGAGGTCAAAAGAGTATCTGAGAGCAGCAGTAGATCTACCAATGTTTTTCAAAATCAAAGCAATGTCATTGGGCGTGTTTTCTGTTTCTTCTGACATGTTCTGCTCTCTCTTGTCTCAATAACTAGATTCTAGATCTAGATTCTAGAGAAGAAATAAATGATCATGTCCGATAGTTGGGACGAAACTCTAAAATATAGAGAGTCTAGAGGAAAAAGACCTGGCTGTCTTGTATTCGTTGTCTTGCGGTTGCGACTGCACTAGATTCTAGATCTAGATCTACCACTACTGTAAACATCGTGGCGCTTAAATTTGATAGTACCCACCCCCCAATTCTATTAC